CAAGTTTCTGCAGTAAAGGTAAGAACTTTTTAAAAATTTTTTTTTTTTTTTAATACTAAAGAAAACAGACCCAGTAACAAAAAGACAAACCACGGAGCTTTCTCTGTCTCCATTTGTGAAAAGACCAACCCTTAAATAGCTGCAGCTGCGGACACATCAAGAGGGGCTTGAGTAGGGATTCGTTGATCAGACCCAGCCCTATTTTCAAAGTAGAAGCGCTCTTTTTATTTTGAATTCTTCGACTATCAAGGATGATTCTCCAGCAAGGTTCTCTTTTAAATAAACATCATTCACAGTAAGTGGGGCCTTCCATACCACACACACACACACACACACACAGGATGAAGGTCAGGAAGAGAAAAGGCAGAAAAATGTCCACCAAGTAGGAACAGAGTGGGACCGTGTAAATCCAGCACCGCCCAGCTTCCTGGCGGGGACCCTCAGGTCCTTTATTAAGAGAACCCTAGACACACTAGACCGAGAGCAAAACCCGGGTAGACCAGCTCTGCTTAAGCACTTCCTTGTAGTCAGTCCAGTTCTAATTCTAATAGTCCGAAAACCCAACCCCACAGTTTTCAGCTAAAGAATTGTTAAAACACATCATCATTTGGTAATGTCGATTAAATTTTTGTGTTATATCATGTTAGAGTGGAAACATAAAATAGGCCATCAAGGCTGTAGTTAATGTTTTCTTTAGGATTTTTTTCTTCACAGTCTTGACTGTCATCGTAGAAAAGGCAGCTATTACCCCAAATAAATAGAAAAGCCGTAGTTGAAAGTTCAGTACACAAACAGCACACGTGAGTAGAATTATTTGTATGTTAGTTATCATGCTAAAATAACCATGTGTGTTTCCTGTTGTGTCCTTAAACAAGTTCCCGTGCTAGCCCATCAGTGTCTACACTGTTATTTTCCACACCATTGTGAGCCTTTGGTTTTAAATACTTGAAATTTGCATTGATATTTCTCCTTGACTTCTTCTCAGACCGGAGAATTTATAGGTGAAATATGTGTGTAAATGGAAGTGCACGGCGCTGTGTGCAGCAGTCACCACACTCCGCGACACCAGACAACAGCTTTGCTTCCTCTGTTGGGCGATTTCACACTTGCAAACAGCTCACAGCAGACAGCAAAAAGTGAAACAGGAAAACCGTGCTAAAAAGTATCTGCAAAATTCTGTTTAGAGCATGACGTTCCATGTTGCCGTCCTTTGCTCCTCCAGCCCAACTGTCAGATAACCCACGAATAGATTTCAGGGTGGTGTCTCCCCTGCCCTTCCCTATAAACAGGCTTTCCACTCGATTTCTTTCTTGTTGAGCATGGTACTCAGCATTATAGTTAGGTATTTGATCCTTACAACTAGGGTTAGATCGAACCAGTCTGCTATGTGCGGAGACCATCACAGGTTTATGATTTGGAATGTTCGGTGCCAGAACTGCCAGGCCAAGTGTTTCCTCCAATCTGACATTAACTATTTGCACGATCTTAGACAAGTTTTTTAAAGACTTTCTTGGCCCCAATTTAATAGTCATAAAATAGATTTGTTGAAAATGACTAAAAGCACCTATGTCAAATCTTACCACACCCTTCTTATACAGAATTTTGTCAAAATTCAGGTTCATTCATGTAAGGCAGAATCCCAGCCTCCTTCAGGACAAATATTATTCTTTCATCTATTCACCTATGAAGTTTGTATATAAAGTATATAATATGAAAATTAGGGATTTATGCAAAATATTTTCATTTAGAGGAAGAAACCAGCCATATCTTTATTTAGATATGAGAATTTAAGAGCCCTAGGGTAATTTCAATGTACCAGCAATTTAATTCTAGGAATGCAAAGTTGATGAGAAAAAGATAAAACTGTGCATTTAGAAATAATAGCAACATAACCAGGAAATAGGGTTGTGGTCTTTGTTCTTTTCTCTTTCCCTAAGGAAAAAGTAGAAGGTGGTAAGAGGGAGCTTTAAAAGTAACTTAAAAGAATAAAATGTTTGTGGCTGACATGGTAGTGTTCTAAGCCATCATCCTTTGTGCAGTTTACTCTTAGGCAAAACTTGCACA